GTAGGGGAATACATTTTAAAAGTCACCTTCCTAACACTGTATATACATATCTATAATAATAATAATATATAATATAAACACATTTTATTATTCATACCTCTTATATCTACTCTGAATTTATATTATTAATATATAACTTTGAACTGATTTTGTGTACTTTGATTCATTCACAGACCTTCTTTTGATCGCACTGATCACAGTCATATCCTTAGTGGAGGTGAGATCGGGCCTAAAAAATCCAGCCCGACCCGACCCGGCCCGCGGGTATTAAAACCGACCCGGCCCGAGCCCGACAATTAACTTGATTTGCAGGCCCGAGCCCGAAGCAAACCCGAAATGTCATATTTTATTTTTTGAAACAAATGATAATATAGATGTTTGACGATCATCACTTTTGCCAGTACAGCTGTTTAAATGCCTGCTCAGCGTCGAGGTGCCAGTCTTTTTGCTCTCGTATGAAGCAAAGCGCCACATTGACGACATTCAGCGAAGCCAACGCAAGTTTCTGTAGCATTTTCAACAATCAATTTGAAGCTTTTCCACACCTCACTCTTACCGGTGCGTGTTTGTCTTTCAGTTCTCCTGCCTTTAGTTTAACTTCTTGCTCCTCCATATTGGGGACACCAGGTCAAAATAGATGCAGACTTGCGGAGGGGAAGATGATTAAATGAAGAGGGGGCGTTCAGTGCGCAGAGCTCTGGCTCTGCGGATCCTGTTTAGTAGTTAAATAGAATTACATTACATTACTCTGTTTTATCCATATTATTTATTTTTATAACAAGATTCCTTAGTTTAGTATCCACACATCGTTTTAGCATACATTTTATAAACATATTTATTTGAAAAAAAGTCAGGAGAGAGAAGCCCGAGCCCGACCCGACCCAAGTAATGATTGACATTTTAGCCCGACCCGACCCGAATTTCGGGTGGGGTCGGGCTTAGGCTCGGTCTTAAGATCTTACCTCTATCCTTAGCCCTAGTCCGTTACATAAACAATTGCTGACTAGAGAGGAGAGAAAGAGTGAAAAGAGAGAGGAAAGAGTGTGAGGGGAAGAGAGAGAGACTAATAGATGAGATGGAACAGAGAGACGGAAAGTGGACGAAAAGGAGAGTGAAAAAGAATAGAGTGTGTATAGAGAAGTACAGACTCATAACACTTGAGGGAGTGCTGCAGTTGAGAATAAAATGGCGTCTGGTTCAGATTAAACAGAACGACTGTGCTCATGTGAAGGCAAATGTACCACAAGAAACACACTCAAACACACAACGTGATTCAAACACACACAACGTGATTCAAACACACACAACGTGATTCAAACACACACACAACACACAACGTGATTCAAACACACACAACGTGATTCAACACACACAACGTGATTCAAACACACACAACGTGATTCAAACACACAACGTGATTCAAACACACAACGTGATTCAAACACACACAAAGTTGATTCAAACACACACATGATTCAAACACACAACATGATTCAAACACACAAACGTGATTCAAACACACAACATGATTCAAACACACAACTTGATTCAAACACACAACATGATTCAAACACACAACATGATTCAAACACACAACATGATTCAAACACACAACATGATTCAAACACACAACGATGATTCAAACACAACATGATTCAGACACACACATGACTCAAACACACACGACTCAAACACAACTTTATTCAAACACACACATTCTGATTTCCTCTGAGCAGTTCAAGTTTGTTGGAGACTTGGCTGGTTCTCGCTCTCTTCACTGATGTATCACAGTTGAAGTATTTTTAACTTGATATAATGTACTAATACATCACACACTGAAGTACACACACTGCACTCAACTCTGTATATTTTACTAAATAAAGAGACATAATAACGCAGGAGTCTGATGTAGTGCTTTTCTGGACTTTTAGTTCTGTGGTTTATTCATTCACTTTACACTATCGTAGTCACATCTGCCCTGGGACAGACTGACTGAAGTGAAGCTGTCAATCTGCACCATCTGCCCCAATTCACAATTCACATGAGGCAAAGTGGTGTCTTCTGTTCTGTAGTTGAACTTGTATATAATATAATAATGATAATAATAATGACTGATTATTATAACACACTAGTTTATATGGCTAAATTCAGTCATTGTTTACCCCCCTTTATTACAAAATAAAGTTGGATTTGAGCATTACTGAACATTAATGAGGATATTTGATTGTTGACTGAGTGATCGTGTCTCTGAACAATTAGTATTACTCAAGTTTTAAACAAGAAAAAACATCATTGTCATTGAAGCAGCAATAAAAGGATCCAGAAGTCGCCTGATTGGACATTAAATGTAGAACATTTCTTTTTCTTTTCAACATTCAATTAAAGCAGCAATACTGGAACAAAATAGTCAGTAAATAATTAAAAAAGATTAGAAATGATACAAAACTTGTCTTAACATTTCAACATGTCAGAACTGTATATTGCAGACCTACATGCAACAAAAAAAAAAAAAAAAAACACCAGTGGGTCGTGAACCAGTCTTTGGGAAACTATGATATAAACAGATAAAACATATAATTTATGATGATTCATTTCCTCGTTTGCTTTTTTATTAATTCGTCATTGCATTTTATTTTTATATAGCACCTCTCAAGGCACCCGAAGCTCTTTACAGTTCATTCATTCATGGTGATAAGATACTATTGTAGCCACAGCTGCCCTGGGACAGACTTGCAGAAGTGAGGCTGCCAATCTGCGCCATCGACTCTTCTGACCACCATTGATACTAGGGGTGTGCAAAAATATCGGAATATCGATATATCATATTGTTTAATGTGATGATACAGTATCAATATCGTGGGCTATTGTATCGATATTTCACCAAGAGTATTTTTACGTGTGTTTTACTAAATTATTTTGTTACAGCTACAGTTTTGTTGCTTGTGGAGTGAAAGGAAACTCATTTATGCAACACATTTAACATTTTCACTGTTTTGAGGATTAAAATGTTTGTGTTTCATATGAACTTTGCACAAGAAGTGGTTTAACAAACATTTTTAGTATCACAGCCATGATTTAGCCTTTATTTTTTATTGAACCGTATCGAATCGATTTGAAATATATCATATCAAATCGAAAGTGCACTGTATCGAGATATGTATCGTATCGTGGCCTGTGTATCGAGGTATGTATCGTATCGGCAACTTCTTAATGATACTCAGCCCTAATTGATACTCACACACTCCACTTTCTTACTAGGCAATCCAGTGTCTTGCCTAAGGACACAACGGCAGTTTTTGCGACTCCCGCCCCACTGTGGCTCCTGATTTCCCCAGTGTCTCCCATCCAGGTACTGACCAGACCCGACCCTGCTCAGCTTCTGACGTCTCTCTCACCCCTCATATCACTCTCTCTTCAGCCCTTCTCTCTCTCTCCCCCCTCATTTCTCACTCCTCCCCTCTCTCCTTTCTCTTACCTCTTCTCTCATTTTTTCTCTCTTCTCTCTCTCTCTCTTCTTCTCTCTCTTATTTCTCTCACTCTCTCTCTCTCTCACTCACTCCTCGTCTCTCTCCTTTCTCTCACTCTCTCTTCACCCCCCCTCCTTTCTCTCACTCTTTCTCTCACTCTTTCTCTTCACCCCTTCTCACTGTCTCCTCATTTCTCACTCATCCGTCTCTCTCCTTTCTTTCACTCTGTCTCTCTTCACCCCTCCTCTCGCCCCTCATTTCTCACTCCTTCACTCTCTTCTTTCTCTCACCTCTTCTCTTACTCTTTCTCTCCTCATCTGCACTCACTCTTCCCCTCATTTTCACGCATCCCCATCTCCTTTCTCTCACTCTTTCTCTTCACCCCTCCTCTCTCTCCCCTCAATTCTCACTCCTCCCCTCTTTCCTTTCTCACACCTTTTCTCTCTTCACCCCTCCTCTCTCTTCACTCATTTGTCACTCATCCCCTCTTTCTCTCACCTCTTCTCCCAAACTCTCTCTTCACCCCTCCTTTCGCACACCTCCCCTCTCTACTTTCTCTCTTCACTCCTCCTCATTCTCCCCTTCTATCTTTTCTCTCACCTCTTCTCTCATTCTTTCTCTTCACCCTTTCTCACTTCTCCCCTCTCTCCTTTCTCTCACTTTGTCTTTTCACCCCTCCTCACGCTCTCCTCATTTCTCACTCATCCGCTCTCTCCTTTCTTTCACTCTGTCTCTCTTCACCGTTCCTCTCTCATTCCTCCCCTCTCTACTTTCTCTCTTCACCCCTCCTCATTCTCCCCTCAATTGTCACTCTTCCCTTCTATCTTTTCTCTCACCTCTTCTCTCACTCTCTCTCTTCACCCCTTCTCACTCTTCCCTCATTTCTCACTCCTCACCTATCTCCTTTCTCTCACCTCTTCTTTTACTCTTTCTCTCCTCATCTGTACTCACTCTTCCCCTCATTTTTCACTTCTCCTTTCTCTCACCACTTCTCTCGCTGTCTCTCTTCACCCTTCCTTTCTTCCCTCAGTTCTTACTCCTCCCCTCTCTACTTTCTCTCACTCTCACTCTCTCTCTTCACTCTTCCTCGCTCTCATCTCATTTCTCACTCCTCCCCTCTCTCCTTTCTCTCACTCTTTGTCTCTTCACCCCTCCTCTCCTCCTCCTCTCCCCTCCCGTCTCTCCTCCTCCTCCTCTTCCTCTCCTCTTCCACGGCTCGCTCCACAAACCCTGCTGCTGTAATTAAGAGCTTTTATGGGCCCTGGGGGAGCCCCTTCTCCAATGCAATCCCCATACATCCATGTTTACAGCCTCTCCTCCCTCCTCTCCGCCGTTAACCACCACATCCACACTTTTAATCACAATTACAAAGAAATAAGCACGCGTTTGTTGACTTTCGGGACATCTGCGCTTCGACACACAGCCAGATTATGCAAAATATGGCCCACAAGAAACACTTAAACCTCCCGAGGATCCTCCGAGCACGTCTCACTCCGACCGCACACGCCATTATTTAGTAAAAGTCTCGGAGTGATGCAAAGTAAACCCAACGTGGAGGTTGTCAAACATGTCCAAACAAACGCATGTATGCTCAGGTAATATAAAACAGGCTATGCTAATGACACGGGCGAGAATAATTGGATTAGCGTAGCACAGCTGTCGGCACATCTGTAGCTAAGTGATGCTAAACCACAGAATGTAAACAATACTCCGCTTTGTTTTCGGACGTCCGCGGGAAATGATCAGATCGTCTGTGGAATCGGACTCGTGTTATATGAGGTTTTGACAGCTCTGGTGAATGATATTGGTTGTAATTTAAGGACTAGATGCTCATGCTTTGTCTGTCCTGGTGAGAGTGAACAGATTTTCAAAATAACACTCGTAACACACGGTTTGGGGCGGTAGTGAAACAAGTGCGTACCATATTTTTCGGACTGTAAGGCGCACCGGATTATAAGGCGCAATATCAATAATGTTGAATTATCTCGTCTGTTTTCATACATAAATCACACTGGATTATAAAGTGCATTAAGCAAAACAAATGAACGACACTTGAGACTGATCCTTAGTCCAAGCGTCCACGATCCATTGGCAGATCGTGGCGTAATTCGCTCGGCGTTGCCCCCCTGTCTTGGTAAATGTGGATTATGAAAGTGAATGTGGGTGGATCATTTAATTTTGTATTTTTTTTTATTTCCTACGAGGACGATTCAAATATACATTGAGTAATAATGTGTTTAATTCAGCTTTGACACATTTGTTTAGATTTTACAGAAACAAAACTTTAAACCCATCCATCCATCCATCCATTTTCTTCCGCTTATCCGGGGCTGGGTCGCAGGGGCAGCAGTCTAAGCAGGGACTCCCAGACTTCCTTCAGCTCCTCTGGGGGAATCCCGAGGTGTTCCCAGGCCAGTCCAGAGACATAGTCCCTCCAGTGTGTCCTGGGTCTTCCCCGGGGCCTCCTCCCGGTGGGACATGCCCGGAACACCTCCCGAGGGAGGCGCCCAGGAGGCATTCGGAACAGATGCCCGAGCCACCTCAACTGGCTCCTCTCGACGTGGAGGAGCAGCGGCTCTACTCCAAGCTCCTCTCGTGTGACTGAGCTCCTTACCCTATATGTAAGGGAGCACCCAAACACCCTGCGAAGGAAAGTCATTTCGAGCACATGTATCCGAAACTTATTGAAACTGAAAACTACATGACTAATTTGCATAAACTATAAACGCTGAAAAAACAGTTTGCTCCTTCTGCGCTGATGTGGTTCAGCTTCTGTCAGACTAAAGCACACGACAGTGGAATATGAGGGTTAAATAATTGTTACTTATTTTCCAAAGTCAAAAGGAAGATGAAGGATGAAAGAGCCACAGTTTGCTGACCCCTGACCTAAACAAAAAAAATAAAGTAAAATAAAAAATAAAGTAAAATAAAACATTCTGAAGTTGTTATGTATTAGGCTATATGTTTAATATTTTGTTTAAAAATGAACGTGTATCTGCATGGACACATTTTTATCATGTTAAATGTGCTCATTTTACATACTCATGTAAAACATAACAACATAACTCATTTTATTTGAGTTATGTGTTTGGAATTTGCAACACATAACTCAAATAACTTAGCAACTTGGAGATCTATGGGAGAGTCGTTACGTTGCTTCTGCCCTTGACTTTACATTACAACCCTAAAATACGTCTTGGGGGTGCAGGGTGGGAGGCGACCTGAAATCAAGTGATTGGTCTGAATAAACATGAACACACACCTTGACCTATTGTGGTTCAGCTGCTCACTCTCTCCCACCCAGTCCCAACTCTCCACTGGCAACATGTTACTGCTACAGGCTCATGAATGGACAACAACACAGCTGTGTGTTATACACTTACACAAGTGAGTTCAACTTCAAGTCAAAATGTGTCAGAGGAACAGTTTTGAGGGAGTAATATGTCTTCTCTTCTGCCAAGCAAGAAAAGAAGCATTAAGCTGGAATGAGTGCAGTGGCTGTGGTTATGTCCTACGGCTCTTATTTTGATTCACACACTGGCTAATGGCGGCTAGCGACTTTTGCCTAAACCTCCAAGAGGAGAGCATGAGGAGAGACACAAAGCAGCATAGCACCTACTGCCGCCGCCGCCGGGAGCCAGGGCACTCGCTCGCTGCTCTATCCACCTCTGCCAGCTCGTTTCTGGGCATAAAAGTTTCACTGGGTGTAGTGCAGAGAGGGCTTAAGTCGACCTGGTGCCCTAGTGCTAATATAGACTGGTGTAACTGTCAGATTTAAGTGGGAAGTGGGATTAAGACTAGTTTTACAACCAGCTCCTGCATTCGGCTCTTGGACCTTGTGTCGCAGATTTAACTGGACCAGGATTTGGACCAGTTTGATCTCTACATATTGGAGACAGAAGCAACAGGACAGTGGATAGAGGAAACACTCTGCATCAGTCTCTGGAGAAGGTAAGAGGCTTGTTTTTGTTAGTTTTGGGCAAATCTGAAGACGGAGCCTCACAGGGAAATAGTGTTATAGTATTAATAGTTAAATAGTTAAGTGTTAGGAAGGTCACTTTTAAAATGTATTGCCCTACAGATTACAGATTACATACCCCAAAATGTAGTTTGTAACAGAATCCATTACATTACTTAAAGTGAGTAAAGTAATCTGAATACTTTGGATTACTTGATTTGCTGTAGAGAAGCAAAGACTAGGAAATCTTAACATAAGATATTTTCTCTGCTAAAAGACAATAAAAAGCCCAGACTTTACTTAACCGTATTAAAAATATTATTGAAAGACGAGAAGGAGACATGGTTCACGCGGCATGGTCCTGGTAAATCCTGGTAAATCCTGGTTTAGATCTGGTTTAGACCTGGTTTAGACCTGGTTTAGACCTTGTTTAGACCTAGTTTAGACTTGGTTTAGACCTGGTTTAGACCTGGTTTAGACCTGGTTTAGTGTCCTGCAGTGTAATCCAATTACCACTCATTGAAACAGTAACTGTAACTGAATACAGTTATGTTGTGAGGTTTGTCCTATTGCAGCTACCGTATATAGCAAAGACTACCACTAGAGGGCATACGTTACGGTTAAGTTGGATAAGTGAGTTCAAGTGTGCGCTCCTGTTAAGATGTACTAACGATGTAATAAACACACTTCGAGAACAACTCAGTCTTATGCTTTGCCTCATAACATGACAAGTTACTCATAATCTGTATTCTGATGACGTAACTCCGGTACATGTAATCTGTTACTCCCCAACACTGATAGTTAAATAGTGTTATTGTGTTAATAGTCAAATAGTGTTACAGTTTTAATAGTTAAATATTGTTATAGTGTTCATAGTTTCTGAGGTGTTTTGTCTTAAAGTGTGCAAAAGTTTCAGAAAATATGTCAAAGCGACTTTTAAAAGGGTCAAATTTTGTGATTTTGATAAAGAATTGTGATGAATTTTGCTCAAATACAAATGATTGAATCAATTACTTCATGTTTGTTGCTGTTTTTATTTTTATTTTTGTTTGTTCAAAGTTCCAATCTTAACTCAAAGTCTGAACGTGTTAATCGCATTTGAATGTCAACAAGGCAGAATCGCAATGACAACATAGAACCGTCACAAGACTTTTTGTTACATAAGTTCCGACATTCGTGGTATAAAGGTCTTGTTTCTTACAAGAGTAGGCTGCTGAACTGTGCTCCTCCTGAGTTTGTGCTGCAAAATCACTCAAATCGTCAACACGACCGCTCCGTTTGCTGCAATGTCTGAGTATGTCACTGTTTCATGTATATTTGGGGTGAAATTAGTCTGGTTTATCACAGAGACCGACCACAACTCAAACAGGGGGAATAAATGAACTTGTTACATTTTGCACAAAACATTTTGGGTTGGATTTAGGTCACTACTACTACTACTGTCCTCCTACTTATACTTCAACAACAACTACTACACACCTAACTACTACTACATTAACAATTACAGGATATTACTGTCCTTGAACTACTGTCATACTAAGATCAAGTTCATGTCTTGTCTTCAGTGTTGTTGAGATGCTAAACAAATTTTTGTATTTCCCTTCAGGTTTTTGGAGATCACGTCATTGTCTGATATCCCTAAATGGTACGGGGTCACTGAACCGATCAGCTTTGACTTTCCGTCTCAAGAGGAAATCCCCCAGACCCTGAAACTGACGGAAACTCTGAAGGCGGCCGACTTGTTCGAGTCCCACTTACAGATCGAACACCGGTAAGACACGCAACCTTCTTTCAGAGTATAAGACTATAAAATAATGAAAATCAAATCTAAAATCTGTCCTTAATGTGCTTTCGTTTGCAGTGAAATGGTGGTGAGACATCTGGAGTCTCTGTTTAAGCGGTGGCTGACAGAGACTTGCCTCGACATGGTAAGACCTTATAACTGTTACAAAATACATCAGGAATCATACATCACATCTTCTTTACCTATTCAAATGTAATGTTATCAGTTTATGTCAGTTTATACAATTTATGTATGTCTTGTTTCAGAATGTCCCTGAGGTTGTGACCGAGAAGGTGGGGGGCAGGGTGCTCCCGTTTGGCTCCTTTGCCCTCGGTCTGAACATAAAAAACTCAGACATCGACCTCCTGTGCCTTGGACCAGGATTTGTGCCCCGCCAAGCCTTCTTCTCCTCTTTTGTGGAGAAGTTACAGGCCGAAAAAGCGATCCAAATTGTTCAAGTAAGTCCCCGATACTAACAGTGAATGTATTTTCATGTGACTGTTAAAAGTCTCATCATGTTTTGTATGTTTAAGGTTATCGAGGATGCTTTTGTGCCTGTCATCAAGCTGCTTGTTGCTGGGATTGAGGTAATGAAAAAATACATTTGTAAGATTTACTTTGGTGGTGTTTATTTTATCTGTAGACACACGACATGATGGGGTTTTTTGAGTATCCCAGTTTCTTCATGGTGCATGTAAACGCAGTATCCCAGTTTCAGTATCCCGGTTATGGTAGTATCCTGGTTATTAGAAACCGGGTTACTGTAGCTCGTATATTCTGATAGTAACCGGGATACTGTGGCATGTAAACGCAGTATCCCAGTTACTGCTACATAAAGTTGAGTGCGCATGCGTCCAAAAGACAAACACTTCAGTCTTTTCACCGCAACAATAGCGACATAAATACAGTGAGCATACATGAGTGAAATGAGTGTAAAATAAAGAGCTGTGTGAACATTGTGTGCACAATGTTCACACAATGTTCACTCGTATGACCTGCACACGTGTGATCGCTGAAAAGTTAAAACATGAACTATCTCCTTTACGATATACGCACAGAACATATTTACCATCATTAGCACATCCTCTGTCACAAAAAGAACACACATAATCCACTGAGTCGTGTCCTTTAGTTCGAAAGAAGCTGATCACATCAGCGGCACAAGGAGCGAGTTGTTTTTATCTGCGCTTACAGTTTATGCAAATGAGTCATGTGGTTTTAAGTTTTGTTTCTGTAAAACTTAAACAAATGTGGTCAAAGCTGAATTATCTGATCAAACGGGCTGATGTGGTTCTATAGTGTTTATGGTTTATATGTTGTAAAGTTAAGTTTAGTTATGCAGAAGATTTGAATGAAGAATCTGTTGGGTTTGATCTGGGATATCTTATAGCTCCTTACGCTGGTTAAACCTCCTGAGCTTCCTCTGCTAAAGGAGCTCATGGTTTGTGTTTTTCCTAGTTTATTCATTTAAATTAAGTTAACTTTTGCGGTTGTGCATTTTTAAGATTATGTCAAGAAAGCGGGATACTCCATTTGATCATGTATAGGGACGTGAGTATCCCGGTTTCTCAGCGCACATGTAAACGCAGTATCCTGAATACTGACATAACCGGGATATGACTAATAACCGGGATACTAATCGGTACGCTCTCAGTCATTCTTCAGTCACTCCTTAATTGAATTGCATTTTTGGAGGAGTGTCTGTTACATGCTTTAAAGGTGCACTGTGTAACTTGTCGTGGACAGTCCATCACCTGCTTGTCTCCATGGATATGTGCCCAGAAATTCACAGTATGACCATAAATTTAAGAATCTGCATTCACAGTAAGAATGATGTTTTTTTTAAAGATATTTTCAACTACAAATAACACCTGTATTTGAATAAATATAAGAGGGATTAGTTTAATAACATACTGTGGACAAATTAAATCTCCATGGAGACAAACAGGTTGCGGACCTCTGCAGAAAAGTTACACAGTTACACCCTTAATAAACCATTGCTCATGATTCATTAAGGTGAATTAGTGTTGTTACCCATAAATATGACTTATTGTTTATATTTGTGTTTGCAGGTCGATATGGTTTATGCTAAAATCTACAGGAAAAGCATCTCCGACAAGATGAACCTGATGGACCCCACTCACCTGCAGGGGATGGACATCCACTCTGTACGCAGCCTCCAGGGATACAGAGTCACCCAGGAGATCCTGAGCCTGGTCCCCAACGTCTTCACCTTCAGACTGGTGCTGACTGTCATCAAGCACTGGGCCCAATGTAAGAGACACTACAATAGAAGATCAATCAATATATTTGATATATTTAAGGGCATTGGATCAAATAAAACAGAAGAAATGATCTGTATTACCAGTATTATCAGTTAGCAGATAATATGACTGAAAAAGAGAGTTCATTTGCAAATACAGAAAAATGGCACTTCCATTCTAGCTTGGAATAAACAGTTTTCATGGTAGTATTTTCAAGAGATAAACTATTTTACTGCAATAAAAATACAAAATCATTTTTACTGATCAAATGCACCTAAGTTTGGCTGAAAATTAGCCTGATTCATCAGACGGTTTCACTTCGTGGAAACCGTCTGACCTCACAGCATTAGGACTCGTTCACTTGATGGTTGGAGGGTACTTTTTTATTTCACCAGTCGCTGCTATTTGGTCGTGACGTATGTAATGCACCAAATCCCATCGGAAGAAGGGCAATAACGTCTTTCCCCTTGATAAAATTCACCAAACATTCTCTTTGTTTCGGCTTTAAATTCTCGATCTTGGGAATCATTGACAACACAGAATGTCTGTCTTCGTCTACATCCATCTCGACACTTTGTTTACTGTTGTGCTGTTCCACAAAAAGGACCCAGACAGACGCTTGACTTTGACGTCATGGCTTCACAGCTCTTCTCTGATTGGTTCTTGCAAACCGTCTAATGTATTCCAATTCCTGAACTAGTCGCTGGAGAGAAATGAAATTGAGCGGAGGCACTTGGTGGCTAACTGAAAATACCCTGTAGAATCTCTTTTGAATTGCATACTATGTTATTTGAACATTTAACACATTAAAACAGTGCTGCAAATGAACTCTTCAAGTAAAATCAACAGTTTTAAATGTAAATTAGAATTACGGCCACATTAAACTAACGTGTATTCTGTATTTCAGGTAGAAACATCTACTCCAATAAGATGGGCTTCCTGGGTGGAGTGTCTTGGGCCATTTTAGTGGCCAGGATCTGCCAGTTGTACCCTTACGCCACTGCCGCTGTGGTAGTGGCCAAGTTTTTTAAGGTGTACTCCATATGGTAAGTACAGTGTGGAAACTGAGAATATTTAAGAACTTTTCTGGCCATGACTTTGCTTCATTTAATTTATTTGTGTTTTTGTGAAATAGGGAATGGCCTATTCCCATCCTGTTGAGGAACCCGGAGGAGCAGAAACTCAACTTCCCAGTGTGGAATCCAAAAGTAAGTGCCAAACGTACTTTCAGTTTTAAAACTTGAGAAGGTGGATAGGTTAGTTGAGTAGTTTAGTTTTAGTTTCATTACATTTTTGAGCATCAGTTAGTTTAGGATCTATTGTAGTTTTAATTGAAATGCAAGAAAATAATTCAATCCCATTTTTAAATCCTCAGGACAACGTGCGCGATCGACTCCACCAGATGCCCATCATCACGCCGTCGTATCCACACCAGAACTCCTCCTACAATGTCACAGCATCCACACGCAATATTATGATGGAGGAGTTCAAGCGCGGTATGTACCTTTTATGTTTTTACTTCAAATATTTAACAATAAGTAAACTCAACACACATGATTAGGAATTTCCTGAATTTATAATCTTTGTTCTGTATTGCAGGTCACAACATTATGCAGGAGGGGTTTGAGAAAAAAACAACCTGGAAAAATCTGTTTCAACAGGCAGTGTTTTTCCAAGACTACAAGTACGTACTTCTCCTATAAGTTTGCATTTTGACAAACAAATGCAACTCATTTCATTTCAAAATAAGAAAATATAATGTATTAAGACTTGTTTTATTCCTTCAGACACTATATTGCGCTGCGGGCCACTGCCCCGACAGAGGCCAAGCATAAAGAATGGTGAGTATCCAGACTTGAATATATTTTGTACTTCAATTTATTGTGATTGACGTGTATCTCCAACTATTTTAGATTGTACTGGAATTTGAAATCTGATTATTTTCAAATGTATTGTGTGTATTTTTTTATAGGACTGGTTACGTAGAGTCTAAGATCAGACACTTGGTGGGCATCTTGGAGAAGAACCCCAACATCCTCGTGGCCTGTCCCAGTCTCCAAACCTTTCCTGAAAAGTACGTACACATTTTCTGCATCTCGTTATTTTCAATTTAGATTAACAAAACATTTCTGCTAATGCTGTAGACGTAAAGTACATTTGTAGGACAGTGAACTAGTGTATGTTTAGAAAGAGTGTCGTTATAATTACCACATTTTTCGGACTATAACTCGCACTTTTGGGGAAAATGTATTTTATAAAATCAGAGACCAGGAACCTGTATTTCATGTTAAAAGTCAAGTTCTAGTAATAAGACTAGAAGACAGAACGACAGACTGTTAATGTCACATATAAACAGTTCTTCAGATAATTATAACATAAACAGAACAGAACAAGTTTAACCAAACTCTCCATCTCACTCCAAATCACTAAATCCATTCAATTCTTCATCCTCGGTGTCACTTCTGAGCAACTCCTCGACCTCCGGAGATAAACAGAGCGCCGCTTCCTCTTCTGTGTAGCTGTCGTCAGACTCAGCATCAGTTCCAGTTAGAATTATTCCAGCCTTTCTGAATCCCGACAGGATGGTTTCCGTAGAAAGTTTCATGGTGCATCCTCCCGGTGTCACAAGTTTCTCGCTCGCTCCAAACTTTCTTTCTGCTGCTCGATTACCATTTTCGACTGCAGATTTCGCTACTTGCAGCTTGTAATCTGCAAAATATGATTTTCTTTTTGGGGGCGTCTCTTTCTGCAGGAGACATGCGCAGTAGAGAGAAGTGACAGTGGTACAGGAGTAATAGTAATAGCAGATACTGACACACAAGACTAGAGCCTCTCGCAGCTGTCACTGTGAAAATGTTAATATATAAGTCGCAGGAAACACCCAAACCATGAAAAAAGTGTGATTTATAGTCCGAAAAATATGGTCCAGTTGTGTTAAGTATAATTAAGTTATATAATGAAGTTCTATTTAAGCTGCAGAAATAAACATAAAGGCTACAGTTGAGAGAAAGACAAGTAAAAACTATTACGTTTTTTGTCATTTTAGTACACCTGTCTGTCCTCTTTAGTCCTTCAGGCAGTGTCGAAATGAACAGCTCCTTTGAACCCACTTTAAATGATAAAATATATTTTTATTTTCAGGAATGGTCTTGGCACAACTTGGGTCATCGGAATTAAATTGAGCCCCGGGACAACCAGGAGTTTCAGTCTGAACCCTGACGTCCTGAGCTTCGTCCAGTCTGGTAAGTGAATATCTCCTGCTAAATACTGCACTGTGTTTTTATGTAGTGATATTGAGAGTTTTGTTGTGTTGTGTTTTTGCAGTGTACGCGAATGCTGAAAGTTTTCGCACCGAGGACATGCAGCTCGAGGCGGAGTATGAGAATAAGGAAACGTATAAACATGTCATTGCTGCGTTCGTAGAGAGACAGGAGGAGTCTGCTGTGGTCGCTCCGGAGAGGCGATCCGCCCCCAAGCGCCCCCACACTCCAGACTCCGAACCCGAGGCCAAAAGGAGGAAAACAGGTACTCAAACATACTACTGTGTGATTTTTAATACTAACTCAAAACAGTAACTTAAAAAAGGTGCACTTATCCATTTTGAAACAGAGATTTGAACTGTTATTATGCTATTATTACTATTTGTGCCACTGTATGCGCCTCCCAGTCCAAGTGCTGAATACAGAAAATGTGATTTAAAAATATATTTTGTTTGCAGAGCTCATCTCCGGTCGGACAAGACATTCAATCTAGACCCAGGATTTTTAAGAAGGCCACCAAATTCCACAGGTAAGACCCTTTTACTCATCTGAAGTGCAAATCTTTACAGGAGAATATTTGAAAATGATTACATTTACTTAAAAAGAAATATCCTGACAATCCTACAAGAGTAAATCTACATTTCCCCCTGTTTTTTTGTTTTTTTTCTTCCAGGAATATCTAAACCACCGCCTGGCTTGGTGGTTCGGTCAATCTCCCTATTTGCTCATTACTGCATTAAAAATAAATAAATAAATAAATAAAAAGGATAAGCTGTTGTTTGATTGATTAATGTCCTGGTGGCCTGGCAGTCTTAACTTTCCCTGACCAATTTCAATTTGTCATTACTGGAATGCAAAAAAAAAAAAAAAAAAAAAAAGGCCGATCTCCTGATTGGCTGATTGGTTACAGCAAAGGAGAAATTCATCTATCGACTGGACAAAAAAGTCCATGGAGCTGCAAAATGTAGAGGTTCATCACCTTCTTGTCAACCTTAAATACTCAAAGAGCCATTTGGAGCGTCTCCTACAGAAAAGAAAACACCCGGCGCTACAAAACTCCTTTGACATCTAAAATGGATTTGCTTTGGTCCGCGCACACGTCCCATCCACCTCACGGAGTCTGCCTGGCTGTTCCATTTGTTTTTTGCCCCTAATAAATAAAAACATTAAAATAAATTCTTTCTGTGTCCTGTGTGCGGTGGGGGGTGGGGGGTCATATTAGGAGTCACGGTCTGAAAAGTTTGGGAGTGTGATTTCACCCACAGCGCTCAGCTCCAGTCAAATGAAGCTCATCGAGGATTACAGTTATAGGTTGAATTTTATGGAGAAGAGTTCTATAAATTGATTTACAGATTAAAAAAATAAAAGCATCGGGATCATGTAGAGCGGGTTAATACCAACATTTTAAGATCAAAGCGAGGAGCCTGACAGCCGCTTTTTAATCTTTATTAAATACACATTCTGTATCTGGTTCATAGTAAGAAGTAAAAAATGAAGAGCGAGAAGAAGAAGACGTTTTTCAATACATGAATCTGAGCCGGTGCTGATGGAGCTGGAAGCATGACCATGCTCACTTCTTAATGACAGTCTGGTGTCTAGCGTGTTAGCTATGTCCATTTATATAAACAGTCTATGTCAGAGTCCTGCATCCGGTCGGTTACTCGCAAATATTTGCTGAAACGGGCGGGTTTTAACGTTCTGGAATTTTACGGGTGGGTAGTGACTACACACGGGCGGGTCAGGTGAATCAAATGAACGACGGACAGGAGAAGAATGCTTGATGTCCGTTGCCCTGGAAAGTACCATTTGTTGTAGTCCTGGTCCAGTCCTGGTCCAGTCCTGGTGTAGTGCTGGTGTAGTCCTGGTGTAGTCCTGGTCCAGTCCTGGTCCAGTCCTGGTAGTAGTCCTGTCCTGGTCCAGTCCTGGTGTAGTCCTGGTCCAGTCCTGGTCCAGTCCTGGTGTAGTCTGGTGTAGTCCTGGTCCAGTCCTGGTGTAGTCCTGGTCCAGTCCTGGTGTAGTCTGGTGTCTGGTCCCTGGTGTAGTCCTGGTCCAGTCCTGGTGTAGTGCTGGCGATCAACTCTGCGGTTTGCGTCGTGTATATATCTATAATCTGCTCATGACACGGCATAGGTTCAGTCTTAGTTAAGTCCTGGTTTAGACCTGGTTCAGTCCTGGTTTAGTCCTGGTCCAGGCCTGGTTTAGTCCAGGTCCAATCCTGGTCCAGTCCTGGTTTAGTCCTGGTCCAGTCCTGGTTTAGTCCTGGTCCAGTCCTGGTGTAGTCCTGGTCCAGTCCTGGTGTAGTCCTGGTCCAGTCCTGGTGTAGTCCTGGTGTAGTCCTGGTCCAATCCTGGTCCAGTCCTGGTTTAGTCCTGGTGTAGTCCTGGTCCAGTCCTGGTGTAGTCCTGGCGATTGGCTCTGCGTTTGCGGCATGTATATATTTATAATCCGCTAATGACACAGCGTAGGTTCAGTCCTGATCCAGTCGTGGTGTAGTCCTGATGTAGTCCTAGTGTAGTCCTAGTGTAGTCCTGATGTAGTCCTAGTGTAGTCCTGGTGTAGTCCTGATGTGTCCTAGTGTAGTCCTGGTCCAGTCCTCTTGCTCGGCTCTGTGGTTGCGACGTGGATATATTTATAATCCGCCAATGACACGGCGTAGGTTCAGTCCTGGTTGAGTCCTGGTTCAGTCCTGGTTGAATCCTGGTCCAGTCCTGGTGTAGTCCTGGTTCAGTCCTGGTGTAGTCCTGGTGTAGTCCTGGTGTAGTCCTGGTTCAGTCCTGGTGTAGTCCTGGTTCAGTCCTGGTGTAGTCCTGGTCCAGTCCTGGTTGAGTCCTGGTTGAATCCTGGTCCAGTCCTGGTGTAGTCCTGGTCCAGTCCTGGTGTAGTCCTGGTGCTCGGCTCTGTGGTTGCGGCATGTATATATTTATAATCTGCTAATGACACGGCGTAGGTTTAGTCCTGGTTTAGTCCTGGTTTAGTCCTGGTTTAGTCCTGGTTTAGTCCTGGAGTATTGGGCTTTCGAACTAATGAGCTGACCTCGATTTACCACGGGCACGGGCGGGTAAAGGGTGGAACGTTAACTGGTCCGGGCGGTTGTGGGTCTCCAAAAATGGACCCGTGCAAGACTCTTGGTCTGCGGTTCTGAAATATAGTTTTTACTTTCTGTTGCCATGGAATCATTCAAGTGACGTGCCACCTCCAGTTGATCTGATTGAGGCCATTATTTGAGTTCTAACTAAACCTGGATCACTTTGAATACAGCTTGTTCGTCGTCTTTCTCCACACTTCACCGAGACTTATTTTGCGTCGTAATTATAAAGTATTATCAGCTCTGTTTCTTTTCCGAGATGAGACAAGAACAGGCCTTAAATTAAACTGTGTTAATGAGGAAGTGTGTGTGATTGCTGCTTCGTTGGAGGTTGATTTGACTTTATTTTTTACCTGTTCGCAAAATGTTTTCTTCGCACCTCCTCTGGGACCCACCGGAGAGAAAGTGGCTCTACAAAACCAGCACACACCCAAATGAAAGAGGGATTTGAAGAGAAGGAGGAGCAGGTGGGGGGTAAATATCATTTTCAGAAGAGATGTTCCTTCAGTGGGAATAATAGTCACATTGTTGTATTCTCAAAGTCTGGTTTCGTTCTTAGTTTTCCATTTTAGTTCAATAGAAAAGAGGCAGGTTTGAGTCGCTGGAATCAACAAACAGGAAAACACTGCAGGAGAGAAGAATGAAGGAATCGTCAAAACGTACTACTGCTGTTCATTTCTGATACAGACTGACCACCGCAGGACTAAACCAGGACTAAACCAGGACTAAACCAGGGCTAAACCAGGACTCAAAGAGGTCTAAACCAGGACTAAACCAGGGCTAAACCAGGACTAAACCAGGGCTAAACCAGGACTAAACCAGGGCTAAACCAGGACTCAAAGAGGTCTAAACCAGGACTAAACCAGGGCTAAACCAGGACTAAACCAGGACTAAACCAGGGCTAAACCAGGACTAAAATAGGACTAAACCAGGGCTAAAAGAGGGCTAAACCAAGGCTAAAACAGGACTAAAAGAGGTCTAAACCAGGACTAAGACAGGACTAAAACAGGGCTAAACCAGGTCTAAACCAGGACTAAAATAGGACTAAGACAGGGCTAAACCAGGGCTAAATTAGGGCTAAACCAGGACTAAAACAGGGCTAAACCAGGTCTAAACCAGGACTAAAACAGGGCTAAACCAGGGCTAAACCAGGGCTAAAATAGGGCTAAACCAGGACTAAAACAGGGCTAAACCAGGTCTAAGACAGGACTAAAACAGGGCTAAACCAGGTCTAAACCACGACTAAAACAGGACTAAAACAGGACTAAAACAGGGCTAAACCAGGACTAAACCAGGTCTAAACCAGGACTAAGACAGGGCTAAAACAGGGTTAAATCAGGTCTAAACCAGGACTAAACCAGGACTAAAATAGGACTAAGACAGGGCTAAACCAGGGCTAAATCAGGACTAAACCAGGACTAAAACAGGGCTAAACCAGATCTAAACCAGGACTAAGACAGGGCTAAAACAGGGCTGAACCAGAACTAAACAAGGTCTAAATGAGGTCTAAACCAGGTCTAAGCCAGGTCTAAACCAGGGCTAAAACAGGATTAAATCAGGTCTTAAACCAGCTCTAAACATGGTCTAAACCTGGACAAAACCAGGTCAAATAGAACAAATCCTTCCTCCTCTATAAACAATACAGAGGGATGTCATTCTGGAGTTTGCAAAAGACATTATTGGTTCATCTGTTGTCTATTTTTGGAGGGTAGTTTTACTGGGCGAACTATTCCATTTCCTTCCAAAGTCTACAGATCCACAGTAGAGAAACTTGTGTGCACCTTGAGCCGTGTTTCCGGGTGAGTCCTTGAAGAAGTCATTGGATATTCATGACTGGCTCACAGCTCTTATAGAAGAAGAAGGAAGTATCTTACGTCAGATCTCAAGGCTTCTGGACTTTAAACCTTGGATTAACTCAAAGAGGAGGATATGTCTAACTTTGTGGAACATTTGAAATACTTCTGTGCACTTTTGAGTTTCTTGAGTTGAGATGTAAGTTTCTTTATTTACACTTTCAACACGAACGGTTGATTGGTCGTTTTGGCTAAGGACATTTTCCAAACAGCGTAGATGGAAGATTCAGAGTTAAGTTGTGATTTTTCAGTTCTAGTTTGGTTCTGGTGTGGTCCTGTTTTTTCATTTTTTTTCCAAGTGTAGTTCTGGTCCAGCCCAGTTTTAGTCAACAATTTAGTCCAAGATTTAGTCCGAGTTTAGTCCTAATTGTTTGTAGTGTGTGTGTAAAGTGGACAGAGCCATAAAGTAGTGAAATTATGTTTGAAATTATGACTGAATCTTGAATGAATGAGTCTAATAAAAGGTGTACTATCAAAAAGAAGCACTTTTAATGATGTCACAAGGAGAATCCAGTTGTTTTGAACTCTATTTCGTATAATCACTTCTATAGTTCATGATCG